ATTATTAGGTGATCACTGTCCCCCAGATGGCTACCGATCTGTAGGTCCCCTACCATGTCATCCCCCGTTGCCAATACCAGATCCAGTATGGCATTCCCCCTAGTGGGACCATGTACCTCCTGTGTCAGGTGGAGGTCCTGTACACAGGTTAGAAACCTGCGTGAGCGGTGGGACTTTGCTGTCTGTGACTCCCAGCAGATGTCCGGGTAGTTTAGGTCCCCCATGACTACCGCCTCTTTAGCTTTTATGGTCTCCGAGAGTTGCCTCAGGAGCCCCGAATCTCTTTCTTCCCCTTGATGTGGGGGTTTGTAGCAGACCCCTACCACCAAATCCCTTTCTCCTTTTCTCCCTTTCTCCCTTCCTCTCTGATAAGAGGAAGCTCTGTCTGTTCGGTGTTCTCCCCTGCAGCTGCTTGTATAATAAAGGTCTCTGACAACTTCGTGACCAAACAATAAAATGAAGCTTGTTTCTTCCACAAAGGCAATTCTGTCCTGTCTTTCACAGACTGTTGCTCAGTCATTTAGGGGCATATGTTCAGCCCAGTTATTCAGAAATCCTGGTTTTCTCTGTTTAAAAATCCCAAATTCTCTGATTAAAACCCCCCATATCTGCATTTTTCCACAATTAAAATGAAACACCACTATATATAGGTATCAGTTGAACACAGTATTGTATTGATATATATAAAATGTTAAAGCAGTTTTGAAGCTTACCAGTGCCTCAGTCATAATAAATTAAATTTTAAATATCTATATATTTTGGCATTTGATTTTGTTTTTTTTAATCAAGGACAATTAGAACTCCTCCTGCCCCCTTTGCTCACTGGGACGTGGGTCCAGCTGCAGCTGTCCCCCTGCTGCTTTGTGGTGCTGAGCAGCCCTGATATGCCAGTGCCTGGAGCCTGCCCATACCGTTGCCCCTCGCTCCCAAGCCACAGCTCCCACCTCCCCACAGCACTGCTGGTGCCCCTCACTCCCGACCTTCAGCTCCCTGGCCCTGCCAGTGCCCCTCACTCCCAACCCACAGCACTTCACCACCCAGTTGGTCCTCACTCTCAACCCACAGCCTCCTGCCCCTCCCTCCCTGCTGCCAGAGCCACCAGACCAGGGCCAGCACTCCCCTGCCCCTCCAGGGGCACCTGAGTTCCAAACGGAGCAGAGCCCATTGGGGGTGGGGGAGAGGGAGGGGGATATGGGCTGACCACTGGGGCTCAGGGCTCCCCATTCTGCTGCCGTTCCCCCTGGGGCCTCTGTGGCCCAGGGGGTGTGACCTGGCACAGGAGGGTGGAAAGGCTTGGTGCTGCCACTGCCACCGCCACTGGGAGCCCCATGCCAGCCATGCTGCCATGGCAAGGTGGCTCCTGCCTGCCTGGCAGCATTGGGGGTGATGGTGTGGAGTTGTGCCCCCCACTGCTGCCAGATGGGCAGGGGGCACCTTGCCATGGAGGCATGGCTGGCACGGGGCTCCTGGTGGTGGTGGTGGCAAGACTGAGCATCTCTGCCATCCTGTGCTGGTTCCCACCTGCTGGGACACAGAGGCCCCGGGGGAAGGACAGCAGGGTGGGGAGCCCTGAGCCTGCTGTGGGCAGCCTGTATCCTCCCCCATTCCATGCACAAATGGGGGGGGGTGTGGAGGTGGCACCTGACCCCCCATTTCTCCCTCCCCACAAGTGTGTGCAGCAGTCGGGAGCCAGCTCCTTTGCTGCCCCCTGGATGAGCTTCCTGTGGCTCCATCTCACTCCCCAGTTGGGCCCTGCAGCTCCCACCCAAGCCCTGGGCACTGCCCTGCTGGGCAGAGTTCCTAGCCCCAGCCTGCAGTCCTGCCCCACTCCCTCCCTCACCATGGAAACCTCAATCTGCCCTCCTGCCTCCCCCCCCCCCCCCCCCCCCCTCCAGCCCAGACTTACCTGCAGACAGGTTGGGTTGCTGATCTTCACTGTTGCCTGGTTGTTTTTGTGGCCACGTGCATGCACACACATGCATATGACATCCCCTGTGTACTGCTCCCCCCCAGCCCCAAGCAGGCCAGCTTGCAAGAGGAAGCAGGTTGACCTGCAAGACCTCTGCCAGCCTGCAAGAGGAAACCTGTAGTTTTCCATGTTTTTCTCCTTTAAAGGAGGAAAACCACATTTTCTGTGGCAAATGTAAAATCGGGATCCATGGTCATTATGTATCTAATTTATGGAAACAAACTTGGGAGTTGCCA